ACTGTGTAAATACAAACAAAAATGCCCAACTACATCCACAGGGGAACTATATATATATGCCTATGACATCCTACAAAATTCTAGACATTATGTGACAGTATGCAGACCACACACTCACCTTCCAAAAGCATTGAAGAGGGACACAATTTCCTGCCTTGTTAGCTGAAATTTGGGCGATGGGCCTTTTTCTGCCATGTTTTCTATTAGGCGTTCAGAAAACAGGATCTTCAAAGCTGTTCCCAAGCCTTGAGTCTATATGCAACAGGAGTGAGTTCAGAGTCAGTCAAACCATTAACAAAGAGGCTGGTGGCTACAATGTCAGCAAGAAGATGGAGCTGTTCCAGGAGCTGAAACTATTTTGGGGATGGGGTAAGGTGTATCTACATTGCAGAAACAATATAGTTTGACACCACTTTAACTGCCATGGCTGTATCATACAGGCTCCTGGGACTTGTAGTTTTGAGAGGCACCATACTCTTGGGCAGAGAAGGCTAAAGACCTTCTAAAACTGCAAATCCTAGTATTGCATAGAATAGAACTACAGCATTTAAAGTGGTGTCAAACCGGATTATTTCAACAGTGTAGATGCAACCTCAGACTGCAAACTGGATTGGATTCACTGCCCCTCTGATCTATAGTACAACCTTCCGCAACATTTCAGCTTTAAGATACAACTCCCATCATCCACACTGCTGGGTGCAGGATTCTAGGAGTTCTGGTCCAAAAAAAGGAAGTTTTCTCAGCTTTGAATTCAACATTCAATTTCCTAGCAGATTATAGGTGTCTGTGCACACATACCTCAGTTAACAATGCCTCTGACAATGAAACTCCTTTGTACAAAAGCCTTATGTACCTGTCCATCTCATCCTTTTCCTTCATTTTCTATCTAGATTTTTTTAGCTGCATTGGACTGGGAGGATGATGAAAGAGGGCTGAGGAACACACACTTCTGGTGTTAGGTTGCAGCAGCATGTCCACAGTAAACAATGCAATCGGCAAAATTTGAGTTAGGAAAGAGGCGATTCTACTCTAGCTGATCCGATTGTGGCTGTGTGTGCCTGTCTACAGCAGGAAAGGTAAACAGTAGCTGCCTCCAGAATCTCTTACTTGCGCATGTATGAACAGCAATGCAGAGGGAAAAGGGGAAAGCTGATAGCCTCCCTCACAAGCTACTCCCTAACATGTTGGAGGAAAGTATAGAAATCTGTAAATCTACAATCCATTCCATTTTGGAAGAAACCTTCAAGTGGTCTCTAGAAGGTTCAAAATGTTTCTGTTTACTTATGCAAGGCTTCCCTGACCTGGAGTCTTATTGCATGAGAAAAGAAATCTGAAACAGAGCAAGAGAGCAGTGGCTTTCTCTGTGCCTCTCCACATGATGTTGTAGCATGCCTTTTGTCAAACAGATTTTTCCAGCTTGACAAAAGACATGCTTTTATAATTTGGAAGTGATACAATGTCATGCGGAGAGGCACAGAGAAAGCCTTTACTCTCTTGCTCCATTTTAGATTTCTTTCTCATGTGATAAGGCTCGTGGTTACTTAATTTAAAATGTGCATGTTGTTAATTTTGGATAAAAAGTTTATTGAAACATATTGAACTGCTCCTCTTTTTTGTTTGCGATATAGGAACCTACCCTATTTCTTTCATGTTATTTATGTTTCTAATGTCAATTGTTTTGTTGAAGAAATCACACTCAGGAACAATCCACTTCATTAACTAAACGATACCGGTACTGTGTTAAGACTGAAGATTTTTAAATTGGTGGGTAATATTTCAATAATATTTCAAATAAATTAGAATGGAGAAAAAAATGGTGACAGGAAGGGTGTTACTTACCTGTAGCTTTCCCCAAAGACGGCATTTAATACATCCAACACAATCCATAATCCTTGAAATGTTCCTAAAATGGAGCCTAAATTCTTCCTAGTAGGGAGGCGAGGAAAAAGAAGAATAAATGTTACTTAAAAACAGATGTTGTCTAAAACTGAAACCACTACACCACAATGCATCTGAGCAAATAGGCTCAAGTCTACAAATGCTCATGCAACTAACTTCTTCTGGTTAGTCTCAAAGGTACTACAGGATCCTTTTGCATACTGATTTTTCAGATTAACATGGTTATGTCTTTGAATACTACACCACACTCACTCTCTTTCTGCTACCTTGCCTCTACATTCTCTGCACATTTAAGGTCCACACCCTCTAATTCAGTTTTCTAGTCCTTAGTATGCTATGGACAGTTCTTTCTTTTTATAACAGTCTGTGCAAACTTCTAGTCCCAGCCAAAGTGACTACCGGTACTCTCCTTCCCTCACAGGCTGCATCTGGACTGCAGAAATAATCTGGTTTGGCACCACTTTAACTGCCATGGCTCAATGCTATGGAATTGTTGGCATTGAATTCCACAGCACTGAAACATGGCAGTTAAAAGTGGTGTCAAACTGGATTGTTTCTGCAGTACAGATGCAGCCACAGAAGTCAGGCTGGGAACATTTTGTTGCTGGTAGCTCTGCTCCCTGAGCAACAGGAATGTTTTGCAATATCCACAGCAGTTTAGCACAGAGAGTAGGAGGCTTCACTGTTGACACCACAATGTACAATACAGAAACAGTTGTCGCTGGGTTAAAAAGGGGAACCACCCAAAGTAGCTTGGGAAAGTACTATTACCTTTAATTTGGCTGCTTCTCTTTGGTTTCCAGCAAAAAGAGAGTTTTCATCAAAGTGCAAAGGGAAAGATCTGAAGCAGAAGAGGAAAAATGTCATTTATAACAGAAGTTCCTTTACAAACAGAAATATTAGTCAAAGAGAAAATTAAAATTCTCTGAATGGTAACAGTAAATTGTGGAAAGGATTTCTCAAAGAGTTCAATTTACCAACTATTAGAAGCCCATAAAAACCTTTTAATCTGATGGTTTTCATCTAGGTATATAGGACTCTAGGTATGTTGCTTCTGGGACTGTTTTCCTAGGACTTACAATCTTGACAAGGGTATACCATTGACATTTATTTTCAAAGTTAAATCTTGAACCTTTGTCACCAGCAGTAGCCAATAGTCTTAATAGTAAGCATGGTTACAATTTGCTAAGAAAATAAAAACTGAACAATGGCTAGAATCCTATATCAAAATGTTGTTGTTGTTGTGTGCCTTCAAGTCATTTCTCACTTATGGCGACCCTAAGGTATCATGGGGTTTTCTTGGCAAAATTGGTCCAGAGGTTTAACATAGCTTTCCACTGAGGCTGAGAGCATGTGACTTACCCAAGTTCACCCAGTGGGTTTTCATGGCCGAGAGGAGATTTGACCCCTGGTCTCCAGAGTCAATGCTCAAACCAAAATGCTATGCTGGCTCTCATATCAAAACTACTTGGTTAAATATACATATGTAACCTCTCCTGGCCTGAATCCCCCAAATCTGATGGAAAACGCCATTCAGCTATGCTGCAGTCGCCAGCAGAATGGACCTCTTTCTCCCCATGCGGCTGATGTCTGGTCAAGAAGGTTGCGGGGGGAGTTGCAATTGTGGTAATAATGTCACAATCATGACAAAGTAGCAATTGTGAACACCGAACAGTTATGGATGATTAAATCTAGCTAACTGTTTCATATTCCTGATCCCATCAGCTCCACCCAGGACAGTCAATGGTAAGGGGTTATGGGAGTTGTCATCCCAAACAGCAAGAGGGGCAACACAAAGAGACCTCTGTTTGGTGAGAATCTGGACAGGGAAACCAAAACTCCCTTTCATTTTCAGCTTGCCAGTCCTTTCTGGGCAGGGTGACCAGAAGTCCTAACCGCAAAGAAGGACAAGGCTCTGCAAAATGCAAGGACATTCAAGTAAAATGTAGGTTGCCAAATAAAAGCTAGAAGTATTCATATAAAAGGAAATTCATGCTTCTTGGTCATGCTCAAAATTAAGGATATTTTGGATTTCCTCCTGGACAGAAAGTAGAAATGCAGGACATGTCTGGGAAAAGGAGGACATTTGGTCACCCTGTTCCTGGGTAGCAGCCATGAATACATATACCTGATTTTATTTATTTATTTGCCTCATCTAGTTATGGAACTAGAGTGGAATGTTATTTGTCTGGCTCTCTGTGCTAGTCAGTAGTCTAGGAATGTGTTGTTGTGCTTATCAT